GTAATCAAGATGGAGTTGGATATCTACACAGTAACGATAAGCTTCAGGTTTGAGTTGGCACTGAATTAAAAAATATATATATTTGCAGGCTCATTAAAGTTTTTTGTTTATTTGTAGAAACTTTTAAAAATTAAATAAACAACCGATGTTTGTATAATTATTGTTTAAGTAGGAGCCTTTAAGGCATCTAGAATGGAGCAGTTGGCCATAAAATTCGAAGGAATATGTATTAAAAATAAAGGGTTTATGAAATCCGGAAAAGCATAGAGATGCTAACTGGAGCCATTTAATGCAGAAATTCCCCCACTCTCACTCAATCCATCGCTTTCTTACTCACTCACACACTGACACACACACAGAAATAAAAATCTGAGTTCAATGAATGAACCAGATACGAAATGCAGGTCAGCAAAAGCCCACTCAGTCAGTTTAAGATGTAATTGTTGTCCCTTTCAGGTTTTTTTAAAAGACTTATTGGAAGAAGGGCAATTGCCCGGCAATGTTTTGATATCTTGATAAAAATCAATAAGCCCCAAAGAGCTTCCTGACCCGATGACTAGACTTTTGATGTGGTAGAGATCAGGAAAGCGGACTCGTGTTCAATGAGAACCGTGACACAGAATATGTCATATGCACGCTGGATTGTCTACCCCACACCCTTGAGTGGGTGAAGCAAAAATAGACTAATAACCGGATTCTGCACATGCGATATACTTTCTTTAGGAATCTACTTTCCCCCCACCCCACAAGATAAACTTATAAGACATTTAAATAAATGTCGAGTAAATTTGGCTAAGAATAAGTTCATAGGAAATGTTTAAAAAAAACATACAAACAATATGGGGTATTATTTCTATTATATAAAGGACACGTTTCAAAAACTATACAGGACAGTTTACTGCGACGCAAAAGAAGAGCTGTAAATGTCGGTTTTCCTACAATATCAATGACCGTTGGCTCACAGTCTGCAGACAGGTTAGTTTTCCTAACCAATTTAGTATGAATGGTGGTGTCTCTAATGTTAACGTGGACGAAGCTCCACAATACACCAAGATTTAGGAACAGTGGCACAGCTAGGGTAAGTGTCCCCCGGGGCTGACCAAGATTTTTTGACACCCACTTTCCACAAGAAAAAAATAGCTCTGCAGTTCGTCCAAAATGCAACCCATTCATAAAAAAAAATATTAAAATTGACAACGGAGAAGAGCAACCCCTTTTATCCCCCCCCCCACGCCCCTGATTAGGAAATAGATGTCATCAACTCCTCTTGTCAGTCAGACATCATTAAATAATTCATGTCGTATGTCTGGAACTAACGCCAAGCTAGGAAACCGTTGAAAAACCATTACATTTTAGAGAACACGCAGCAAGGTCACCTTTAAAGTTGTTGACGTTCTAATGACACACATTTGGAATGTTTACCATTATAAAGTATAAACTACAAATGACAAGTGCGCAAAAATGTATCAGGTGACCATAACACGATGACGAAATCAAGTAGCAAAGTTAAAAAGTAGGGCACGTTCTTCATCACATTATACTTCTTGAACGAAAGAGGCAGTCTATGTAAACAGCACTGGGGCTTATACGTTGGGAGGCCGTCCTCGCTACTAATCGGTAATTTTTTCAATGGGTTAAAATAAAATTTAAATGTTACAGTGAGATTTTTTTTTATTTTGCTTCATAAAAGGTACCTGCCCTTTTTTTTACCTCCAAACATTGAATTGCGATTCTATAGGATCATTTGAAATCTATATTGATAGTTCTCAAAAATATTTATCAAACCCCCTTTTAAAAAAAAATTGATCGCAGGTTCACTTTAAAAAAAAAAAAAATCATAGCGATGAAATAATTTTAAATAAAAAGAATATAATTTTTAAGGCAATTCCTAGAATTGAAAAGCACAAAATGTGGGACAGATGTAGTTGGAAATGGATCTCTCGCCTGAGAAAAAGAAAATAGCTGAATATTATTTGAACACATACGTAAGTGGCTGTGAATGGGGACAAAGTTTGAAAAAAAATTGGCAGAACAATTCCGAGAGAGCTTTTAAAAGAGACGACTCCTAGTGTTGCTAAATATAAGTGGTTCGCAAACGGAAACTTCTAAGGTGCTCTATGCCGTCCAAATAAATAACATAATGACAAATTCAATGAAATTAAAAGAATAATGAAAGAAAAAAGAAAAAAAATATACATTCTGAGTATATATTTTTTTTGCCCAAGTTGTGTGTCGGAGTGATTTAAAAAACAACAACTAAACATTTGAGAAGTTTCACGAGTATTCTCAAACCACTCAAAGCTTCTCGAAATTAAGCCCTCAAAATTAGATGCTGGCCGGACGACCTGGAGTCAGTTTATTAATTTCGCTCCCAAACAATCTTAATAACTTGAAAATGAGATAATTAAAAGAAAATAAATATAATAAAATTATGAAACATCTAGAGTTTTTTTTTCTAAAGGGTCATACGAGTTCATGCTCTTAGTTCTTCGTAAAAATACGAGTGTGGATAAGTCGACATCTAAATTATTGAGTGGATAAGTCGACATCTAAATTATTGAGTGGATAAGTCGACATCTAAATTATTGAGTGGATAAGTCGACATCTAAATTATTGAGTGGATAAGTCGACATCTAAATTATTGAGTGGATAAGTCGACATCTAAATTATTGAGTGGATAAGTCGACATCTAAATTATTGAGTGGATAAGTCGACATCTAAATTATTGAGTGGATAAGTCGACATCTAAATTATTGAGTGGATAAGTCGACATCTAAATTATTGAGTGGGCTTTTTGTGGGCTTATCAGAAACTGTTACAAATGAAAGAAAAATAGCCAACTTCATGGGAAATAATGGATGATAATTTTGTTTTTAATTAAAGTTTCCTTTTACTTCATACTAACTTATATAAGGTAAAATAATTGAATAGATTATCATCATATTTTGCCTGGTTATTGACAGTGTATAGCTTAATGATTGAATCATCAATAATGCATAAAGTATGGATACTTATTTATTGGAATTTCTTTTTAAAATAAAAAAAAACCCAACTTATTATAGTTCATTCTGCAATTAATATAATTCAAATATACTTATGTTTGATTCAATTCATTCTCGCACGACAAATATATGGGGAAAAAATAATTTGCGTTTTTTTAAAAAAATACAAAGACCCAATTAATCAAATAAACAGCTTTGATAGCTTCAGTTGTAGTCTTTCAATTTTTGGCTGAAAGCATTAATTTCTCAATGAACCCAAAACATTAAGAAGACAAGATCTCGCAAGCATGGACCCTGGCCAAAGTAGAAAATGGTAGTAAATTTGAGTCTTGTCATAGTTTTAACAGTCAGCCTACACAGTCTAGTTGAGACGACATACTGACATTTTCTCAAGTGCGTGAGTTGTGTCTGACAGAAAAGCTGTTTGAGACGGACGGATTTTTGAGACAAACTCACTTTTAAGATAAGATAAGATTCTTTTATTGATCCAAATAAATGGAACTGTTTTTTGATTGCATTATACATTTCCAGCACATGAATAAAACAATTTGAAGACGAGACATTAATTAATAAATGATCTCAAGCAGCCATTCAGTGAGTTCTCTTAGCCAAAACGGGGACTTATTAGTTCTCACGAAGATGTGTGACTTCAGAAGGAGCACGCCGGTAAATTCGTACAGATTGTGGAACAAACGAATTTTTATCTCTTTCAGCCCTCGCCTTGATGGAAAGAATTCGTCCCGAACGGCCCGTTCCTAAGTATCTGCGATGAAGAGAGTGGAATGTATCATACAAAATGTGTTTAGTTTTACAAAAACATCTTTCTTCAAATAGTTCTTCAAGTGAAGGATGTTTAGTTTGTGTTATTTTCCTAGCTTTCTTGATTAGTCGGTTTATGCGGTGTTTAATATCAGACGTTGAATTCCCACACCAGCACGTAATACTGAAATTAAGGAGGCTTCCAATTTTCTGAGATAAACGCCTCTTTCATTGTGTTTCAGTCAGAACATTGAAAGCAAACAATTTTTCAAAGGAGCCAAGATGGAAATAAATAAACAAAGGAACATTTCTCCCACCTGAGCTTTCCAAATTGAGCCTTCTACCAGCAGTTATAACAACGCGACAGTGATCTCAGCAAACAAAAGGTTAACTGACCTATGACTATAGGACAACACAAGTAAACTGACCTGTAAATTAGGACAACACACAACAAATTAACTGACCTATGAATATAGGACACCACACAGTAAGTTAACTGACCTATGAATATAGGACACCACACAATAAGTTAACTGACCTATGAATATAGGACACCACACAATAAGTTAACTGACCTATGAATATAGGAAACATGACCAGACCGATAACCAGGAGGCGGTCGTCTACAAAAGATATTATTTTATTTTCATTTCATTGTGTACGTGAATGACTCAAGTGATAGTTACGAATAAAATGTCTGAAAAGTTCCACTAGACCTATAGTTAACAAAATTGTAAAATTACAATGGAACGCGCCGACATTTAGAAAAACTACGAAGTTTGATTGTTGCAATCCATACAAAAGCTGAGCAATTAACGAGAAACCCCATCACACAAATACAACACTTTCCATGGTGTCGAGTTTCTTTGTCGGGTTGATTCGACTTTTCTGATGCTGCAATTATTTCCTAATCATTTAAGATAATCCTATAAAATAATAAGTTGTGAGGCGGCCACATTATCGTCAAGAAAAGGGCGGTGGGACGCAATATTTATTTTGAATTAAGAGTTCTTAATAACGCTGTGACGCTATAATAAATGTCTTCTCGGGAGTTATACCAACTTGAAATAGCCGAGTATTTATTAAATCGGATTGAACATTGGTGCCAGCACTTTATAAAATACACTGAAGCGTGAACTATAGCGTATAAAATACAGGTAACAATAACAAGCTACTAGTTTAATATTATGGTTCGAAATGGACGCGTCTGCTATCGAATCTACCCCTCCAAGCAACGCTGAGGTTATTGGCCTTGTTGGTGACGAAATTGTGGAATTTTGCAACTTAATTCTCACAATCCTGGTTTCCTTCTTAGTAGTGTCTGGCATCTTCTGCAACGTCATCAACGTCATCGTCTTCGTCAGGCTGGGTCTAACGGACGCCACCAACATCTCTCTGTTAGGCCTGGCCGTGGCAGATATCGGTGTCCTGTTGACCATGATAGGATACTGTGTGATCTTCAGTCCTCTAACGATAGCTGCGGTGCCATCTAGGGATATCATCGACGCGGTCAACTACGTTGTTCTGGGGACGCCACATCTTGTTTTCAGCCGGATATCCGGTCTCTTGACCGGCTGGATAAATATCTCGAGGCTCGTCTGCGTGACGTGGCCTCTACGCGTCAATACTCTCTTCACAAGACAACGAACTTCCCTGGCCGTCCTCACTGCGTACACATTCATGTTTGCCAGCGCAGTCCCGACGTTCATAGCGCACCGCATCGGGATGAGGTTTAACCCAGCGTTAAATATAACCGTCGTGGGGTTACTTTTTATAGCCGAGACCGAAGAGCTGGAAAATATTACCATCAGCGTTAATGTGGCGGCACAGATGGCGACCTTTGTTGTCGTCACCCTGTCCACGCTTTTTCTAACACGATCGCTGCACAAAGTCGCCCAGTGGAGAGGTTCCGTGTCTCGTCAGACATCGAAATCGTCTACCAGGGACAAAATGCTCGTCAAGATGGTTATTTTGATATCCGTCGTTTTCATCGTCTGCTCGCTGCCAACGGTCGTCGTAAATGAAGTGATGCCGTTTCTGAACGAGTTCAACATCAACGGAAGAGAGAGGAATGCATTTATTTTAACATGTGGCATTTTCTTCCTCCTGCAGTCCGTCAACGCAGCTGTCAACTTCTTCATCTACCTGGCCATGAGCTCGAAATTTAAACACAGCTTGTGTACCATGTTTGGTATAGTGAGAAATGAAAGCAAGGTGATCCACTAAAAGAAGTCCGTATTCAGTGATTAATGTAGAAGGGTGCAAGAAATCTGACACACATCGGTGACAGACATCAAGTAAATACAAAGGAGAAATAGAAAAGTCTAGGATATAAAGGACACGTAAAGCTTTAACTCGTCCCTTGGGAGAGAGGGGGGCAGAGAGTGAGCAAAAGAGAGAGAGAGAGAGAAAGAGAGATGGAAAAGAAAAGAGACGCCCATGATATTAATAAATTGGTGAAAACTTAAGTATATATAAAGAAGCAGGATTAATACAAAATCGGATTTTAAAATTAAAAAAAAAATTTTTTTTCTTCTTCTTGAAAAAAAAAGAAAAAAATTGAAAGGAATCTATGTTTTAAGACATTAAACACAACATGGTTAATAGTTATAAAAATCAACTTCAAAACAAATAAGAGGAAGAGAACCAGAGACTCGACTCAAGACACGTAAACTTAGAACTAAAATTTGGCAAAAAGAAAAAAAAATAGAATGGGAAACAGCACTAATAGCTCCAAACACAAGAAACGTTACAAACTTCAAAACACAAAATACAGAGGAATTTCCTTATTGAATGTTACATAGAAATGGCTACAAAACGAATTGCCAGAAGACTACAACCGTACACTGAACAAATAATAGGTAACTACGAATTTTGGCTTCAGACAAAACAGATCAACGACTGATTAGATCTTCACCATCAGATATACCCATTAGAGAAATGTTACGAATGTAATATCCCAGTAAATCAATTCTATGTGAACTATATAATGGCCTATTGACAGAATCAAAACAGTTGTATGCAAATCTGCAGGCGCTTGGCGTACCCAACAAAACTGACAAGACTGGTACGTGTAACCTTAGTTAAACGATTCAAAATCATTAGTCAAGTTTCAAGGAGAATATTCCAGGAATTTCAGATTAGACGAAGCCTAAGACGAGAAGACTTGCTGTCTTCTATGCTATTTAACCTAAAATTAGAGAGAGTTATAAAAAGCATGCATATTACCCGAGAAATAAAAAAAACAGGATATTATTTCACACTCAATTTCCAATAGGCTTTCTCTAAAAATCAACCTCTTCAGTATCTTGTATCAGCGTGATGAGGGTGCACCCCGAAAATTCCAGGGGGAAAACTACTCACAGACCTAGGCTTAGATGAATGGATGGTGTTGAAACATATGTCTACAGCGGCTGGGAATCCAAGCATGGAAAAGAAAAGCATTTGCAAGGTCTGAGTGGAAGCGTGTGGCGAGGCAGGCCAAAGCCCTACAGGGGCTGAGTGGAAGCGTGTGGCGAGGCAGGCCAAACCCCTACAGGGGCTGATTGGAAGGGTGTGGCGAGGCAGGCCAAAGCCCTTCAAGGTCTGAGTGGAAGGGTGTGGCGAGGCAGGCCAAAGCCCTACAGGGGCTGAGTGGAAGCGTGTGGCGAGGCAGGCCAAAGCCCTACAGGGGCTGAGTGGAAGGGTGTGGCGAGGCAGGCCAAAGCCCTACAGGGGCTGAGTGGAAGGGTGTGGCGAGGCATGCCAAAGCCCTACAAGGTCTGAGTGGAAGGGTGTGGCGAGGCAGGCCAAAGCCCTACAGGGACTGAGTGGAAGGGTGTGGTGAGGCAGGCCAAAGCCCTACAGGGGCTGAGTGGAAGGGTGTGGCGAGGCA